AGTATGATGTGCCTCCTTTGCAGAATGATATCACTTCGTTTCCGATCGTCATATGCGAGCGTGTTATGCCGATCACGGTGCCTTGTGATCGGAGGAGGTCGACGCCTAGGATAACGTCCCAAGGACGGTGCGGTGTGACTATCGACTGCTGCTGGACATGCAGGTCGCCTAACTGGAGTGGTGCAATGACCGAACCATGTGTTTGAATTTGCGCTCCATTCGGAGCAAACAAATTCTTACAGGGTGTCGAGATACTTCTAGCATGGCGCGGGACCGCGGTGGACTTCACCAGCGAACAAGCTGGTCCTGTGTCTGCTAGGGCTTGTACCTTCTTACCCCTTAACAGGACATCGATTAAAATTGACTGGGTGGGTAGTGCATTATCACGAAAGAGGGAAATAGGTACGGTGGGTTCAACACTCTTGGACTCACTTGGGTCGTTGTGTCCGCAAAACCGGGTCTGCGCACCAAATCATCGGCAGTAATCACAGTTGCCGCGCTCTGTCGACCAACGAGGAACTCGGCTACGACCTCGCTGGTAGGCGCCTGCTGGTCCGGAGTTGGGCTGTGGTGGGCGGCTGTAACCCTGAGGTGTCCTGAATGGGCCGGCAGCCATGGCGTACGATGGTGCCGATATCTGGTACTGGCGTATAACATCTTCCAATTGTTCCTCCTCCCGCGCGGTATCAATCGCCTGCTGCCAAGTCTGCGGTCTGTAGCGGTGGAACTTTCGGATGAGGCCGGCGTTCCGAACACCCACGTGTGTCTGATGAAGAACTTTCTCTTTCCGGGTCTCTCGTGGCAACGCANGGAAACGCATGGTTCAACAATCGGCGGAAGGCGCGTACATAAACATCAAATGCTTCATCGGGTTGTTGGGCCCTAGTTTGAAACTAGAACTGTAGAAGCATGGGATTCTTGCGCGTAGTGAGGGCGTATCGGAGCTAGGTGAACGTATCGTCTGTGATTTCCTCATCCAGGATGCCATTCTGTAGTACAATAGCACGAGCATCTGTATCCAGGAGTGATAACAGAACGCTCCGACGTTCGGCGGGGAGAAACAAATCCGCATAGTTTTTGCATCAGCTACCCACAGGGAAAAGTCGTCTCCGAGACAAAATTTGTCGGGAGCGGGGAT